CCTTTACTCATTGGGCTGAATGCTTAGGAGTTATTCCATGCTCCAGTTCCTTCACTCCTTAATTACAAGCTTGGGAGTTTGGCTTTATTCCTTTGTTCAATGGCCAAAGGCCTTAAAACTAAAGTTCTACTCCACTGTTTTTGTATATGTGGCACGTGGCATATGGCATGTGACATATGGCATATGGAGGGTTTAAATTCTACTTCATAGTTATTCTATGGTAAATTACATTAGGATAAAGGGTGAAAACCACATACGCTACAGGATGCTCCAGAATTACGATACACAATTAAATTACTTAGTATGAAAGTTTGGCATATCTAACTTAAACACTGTACTGCAAGTGGCATTAAAGATGTGGTGAATGAGATAGAGACACTCAATCTCGGTTGCTATGGACCCCTAGCCAGAAGGGTTAGCTTAGGTGCATTGCCAAATGTAAGGGATGCTTCTAGAATTATGATCAACAACTTAAAGGTCTGGCAAACTTAATACCTATTGGTAAATACGTTAAGGTATCAATGTGAGATCATTAAGTAATCCTATGGCTAAAGAAAAACAAACTCCTTATTAGGTCAAGGAATAAAGTTTTTAGTTTAGAGTGTTGATTTGAACTATTAGTAATAGTGTGACTTAGTCAAAGAGACCAAATGGGAAAGACACATAGGTGAAATGAATTATGATATTACAATGGTATTATAAGTTCAATAAATTAGTCTTTAAAGAAAGACCTATGGGAAGGTCACAAGGTTGCACTATAGATAAAGCCTCTAGTAGAAAATGATAAAGAGATTTATTAAAGATAAACACCCTCTAAATTTGGTAAAATAAAGCCTTTACTATGGAACCAAAAAAATACCTTAAGGATGGAGGTAATGATCCTATATTACTTAGTGTAATAATCAAAGGATAAAAGAAAAGGATTAGTGACCAAGAATGGGTTAAAGAAATTATTGGAAGGAATCCAAATGATAAATTATGTGAGGAACACCCATATAATGGATACTAATGGATTGTGAGAAAAGAAATATGTTATTAAGGATGGAATTTTTCAAATGCTTTAATGTGGTGAAGATGAAAGTTCTAAGAGATGGAACAACAAAGTAGCCAAATAATATAGATAGCCGTAATACAAATTATGGATGAATGAAAATTAATACCTATAGTGGCACAAAATAAAAGAGAGGATGATGGTGCTTTTAAGTAAAAGACCTCTTAAGATATGAAAGTGGAGTTTGCGCAATATGTGCAATACAAGGTGTTAGAAATACCGAGAAAATTGACTCATGAAATCAATATGAAAGTTCCAAAGTATGATAGTTATGTTGATAGAGGTTGAGACTACTTTGGAATAAATAGTAAAATTGAGATAGAGAAGGTGTTTCTAAAGGGTTTAGCGAGAGGTAAACAAAAAAAAGAAGAAAACCACCATAAGTGATATTATGAGTCTCTAAGATGAAGAAACCATACTTCTTAGAGGATGGGAAAGGTATGGTGAGCCTTTGGTGGCAAACCTTTGACAAATATTAGTTTAGTGTCAAAGATGAAAATGGTAATCCATAATGGGGTTATTTTATAAAAAGATTTATTGTTCAATGAGGATATTGAACTTCATCTATGGGTGGTGGAGTTGTAAGACATAAATTCTTAAGCCCCAAAGTAGAGCTGAAACTATGTTATATGGTAGTGATTAAAATGGAAGTTTAACAAGTGTAAAACATTGAAACCAAAAGCTCTGACTTGGGAAGTTAAGAACAGGAGTGGAACTCCAAATGAAGTGCTTGAGAAATAAGAAACAATTGATGAATGAATCTCTAAAAAAGGACACAAAAAGGACTAACACATGATAAGTGTCATGACACATGGTAAATGTCGTAACACTTGGAAGTGTCAAAACCAAGTCCGAAATAGAGTTCGAGATGGAGTTTGAGATAAAGTCTGAGATGGAGTCCGAGATGGAGTCCAAGAAGGAATACAAGATGGAGACCGAGACTAGGTCTGAGATCAAGGCTAAGATTGAGACTGAGACCGAAACTGAGACAAAGATCAAGTCCAAATCTGAGTTTAAGTCTGATTACTAATACAAGTCAAAAGGTGAAGGCCCAAAGTGATTGTCCCCCAAGGGGAGGGTGGGGCCTTGAAAGATTCTAAAAGTATAGTAAAGAGAATGTAAGGGTTGAATTCCAATGGAACCAATTTGTTCAAGAAAGGCTAGTGTGATCTAAAAAGGTTATACCCATATGATGGGTGATGATATAACTATTGAAGAATCCAGGCTAAAGTGAACACAGACAAATAAATGAAGTAACTTAATAAAGTGTTTAAAAGCTCTAACTCCCTTAAAAGATCTAATGGTCAATTCTCCTAATCCAAGTGTAAATGGCATTATGTACTTGGATACCTAGTATGGCTCATTAGATTTTGTTTTAGCCACCTGGCTAGAGCATCCAAAAGCAGAAAGTGGGGGGAGTACCTATGGAGGCTCATTGTAACACATATGATTATAAGATGAGATTTGAATGTATTATCATTGTGGATTTTTGGAACTTTAATGAATAAATAGGGATTAAATAGCCACTAAAAGCTCTTTTATCAAACAATTGGCCATTTTTTAGTTAATTTAAAGGGAGAGATATAAAGTGTCTAGTAAACTAAGAAAAATTTTATTAGGTATTATTGAAATTTATACGCAAGAACAAACTGACTAAGTTTGCTTGATGAGGTCCCTAAGCTGCTGAATGAGCTTGGGATTGTGACAGCATCATAAATGGGAGGATTTGATGCAAACACAGCTTTGGCTACCTGGGTGACACTGGGATTCTGGGAGTTGAATCCCGCAAGAGCAACAGCCAGTGTCTTCCCAACGTTGAGCTGGAAGTGAATGAGACCACGCGGAAACACAAAGAGATCCCCTGGATGCAAAGTTTGAGCGAAGAGTGTGTTGTTGGTGGTGCTCACGAATCCAACATAGAGAGTTCCTTGCTGGAGGAAGAGGAGCTCGGTTCCTCGGGGGTGGACGTGAGGGGGATTGACACCATATGGAGCATAATCAATCCTCGCAAAAGAGACTCCAAGAGTGTTGATTCCCGGGAATACGCCAACATTTGCATTGGTGACTATGGATCCGAGCTTGTTGTTGGTGTTCCCGGGTTCCTGAGTCCCTGGAACATGAAATCACTGGCTAGAGTTGCTGCAGCAGGCTTGCAAGTGAATCCATTGACGATGGTGCTGCTGTTTCCGTCGTGGACACAGAAATCCTGGAGGGCATCTTCATCTGATCCATGGACGAAAGCAATGGCACAAATGGCAACTAGACAAATGGCTAACTTGTAAGACATGTTGTATCTTCACACAGATTTTGTGTTGTGATGCTACTTAATTGATGAAGAATTGAGTGAGGGGAAATGTGGAGGTTGCTGGAGTTTATGTAGTACTACAAATCTGACTTGGTCATTTTACTGGAACAGAGAACACGTTAACCAGACTTGATCAGATGTTACATTCTATTTATCTTCCGAGGAAAGAACCAAGAAGTGGACAAAGAACTGTTCCATGAAAACGTTGTAAGGATTGATTTGGGAGGGCATTCATATACAGGCTGTCCATTTGACAGCTGTGAGGCTCAACAAGTTGAACCACAAGTCACAGCCGTGAGAGTTTGATTCGTCCTAAATAGGGAAATGGTAGCGCCATGTGTCACTCAAGGACTTTCCGCCGCCTCTGGATCAGGTGAGTGATCAAGCCTCTATTGTTTCTGTGATCTTTTTCCTGCAGGAGTGTTACGATGTTCCCCAGGAATTATAAAAGGAGGCCTGAGCTTAGCTTGTGACTCACTGTGTGGATTTTGCTCTGTTTTGATTCTGATCAATGGTGCCTGCGAAGTGGGAAGAAAAAGAAGAACAGTGTCCAGCATACACGCTCACGAAAAAGATAAGGACGAGGAGAGCGGAAAATAATCCAACATCTCCTCTCGAGACTGGGATGAGGACTAAACTCGAATTGATCAATCCATTTTCTTAGCACGATATTCGGCTGCACAGGTGGAAAAATCTGTACTGTGCTGCATCGTTTCTTCCGGCAAGTCGAGTGTCCCATGGCCAAATGCGCTGGTGGCGGTTTAAGCTCAGCGTGCCTTTCAGCGATGATCTCAGAACCTGGTTATTCGAGCTTGATGTATATGGGAAGAGCACCATGGGACATCAGGTAGCGGGGTTAACTGGGAAAAGTACTCGCTTGAAGGCCAAATAATTAGAGTCTATTGTCAGCGATTTGTAAGCTTCTTGCAGAAGACCACAGTAAGTGGACGGCTGGAATGCCCGATCTTCTGCTGCGGAAGGAGCAGCTGGCCGAAGTCAAGGGTCCAGTGGTCGCTTGTCCGAGCAATAGGTGGCCTGGTTTCTTATTCTCTCGGACGCTAATTTTCCAGTGGAACTTTGCAAGGTCTCACATGTGGTGTCACTTGTGGACATTAACTTCTTTTGATTGAATCTTTTTCTATACTTCGGCGAGACGCACGCGCAGAGGTATTTAGAACACTTCTTTGACTTGTATGTGAATTCTTTCCTTCAGGCTTTGAACTTCTGAGGTCAAGACATGACAACGAGAAGCTTCTACAGAAGGCCCTTTTGCAACACCAACCAAGAATCGAACCACGTCCGCTTCAAGCTCCTGGTTTGCATGAGTTACCTTTCCAAGATGCTTTTAGACAGGGATAGTGATAGAGACGAGAAGTTGCAACCCCGCGGCAGAGCAGATACCAGGCTTACATTTATGACTTCAAGTCCATCATAACAGGCTGCGTCCAGTCTCCGGACAGTGATCAAGAACAGCCCGACCAGGAAGTCTTTAGCGTGCTCAGCGACTGCGCCAGAGAGAGCAGTAGCCACCAGCAACTCGGCACAGGTTTACTTTATGGGCCATGACTTCCACACTTCTCGGTCGTGCATCCGGGCCTTGAACTCGCCAGACATAAAAGCTATGGCTGCTAAGTTTATGAGAACTTGGATCAATTACGCTGGTTTTATATCAAAGTCGTTAGTGCCACCCGTGAACATATTGACTTGCCATGAACTCCCTAAGAAGTTTCTTACTTATTTCGAAATATTATGGATCTTTAGCTTAAGCACAACCAAGGTTTTCACCTGGTGAAACACCCAACTGTGAGCAGAAGTCCCTGTAATAATTGATACGGTTTTGTGCTGGTTGTGTCTCACTGCCCATGCCACACTCTCGCACTCCATTGATGGCTCGAATTGTAGCTCCAAATCCTTGATTCTGTGTTATTGCGGTGTGGCAATTCGAGTTTTGCATCCAAAACCACACTGATGCCCTCCATGCAAGTAAGCCATTCTGAGCAACTTGGTCTGGGTTCTGGAGAAGGTTCATATTGAAAGCCCTTCCCGCGGCATCATAGTTGTAATTCCTGCAGATGAAATTTTGGATTTGTACTGCATACGTTTTTCATTTCTAACTTACCAAGTGAGCTGCAGAGGACCTCTTCCATAATAAGCCATAGCGCCTGCCGGACATGAAACTCCACCTCTAGTGTCACAATAGACGTTGTTTTGGTTGATCTCTCGAATGAATTGCAGTGCTACAATCAAGTAGAAAAACTTCAAGACATTAGTGAGAAATGGATTTTGCTATGTAAAATTACTTCCAGTCTCCTGCTTCACATTTGCAAAGTACGCAGCCAGTTCCCTCCTTTGAACATCAAGACTCCCTGTGCTTCCAAAAGCAGGAAAGCCATTTGCTGCAGCAATGAAATCACTATAGGTATAGAAAGGATTGGCAACGTTGGATGGGAAGAACTGCCTAAACACAGACTCGGTTATGATGCTAGATGGGTTTGCTAGTGTGGGGGAGGGAGATCCAATGCAAAGTATAAAAGATATGATGATTGCTGCAAATGCCATGGCTGCTAAAGTTTATGAGAACTTGAATGAATTTGGGTTGGTTTTATGCTCTTGAAGCCACCCGTGAACATATTGACTAAAATGCCGTGTTGATGGAAACTTCCTAAGATGGAAGGAGTCTTTTATTGACTTTTCAAAATACTTTTGATTGAGGTTATGATCTTCTGTTTAAAGATATAATATCTAAAGTTTGAACAGTTTCACAATACATTTTTATATCTAGAAATAAAATACCAATTTATACAGTTATCAATCTTAGTAAATAGAAATTCAATTTTTTTTTAATTAACAAATTTTTAAAAAGGAATTTCTTGCATGATTTTTAGCTAGAATAAGCTTGGACATTCAAAGATATTTTATCATCTACTGGTTGCTAGTTATTTAGATTAATATTATATTTATAGTTTATAAATATATTATGATATCTTTATATTTACTAAGAAAGTATATTCATCATGACATAAATTACTATACACATATAAGGGATTATTATGAATCTATACTAAAATTAAGTTTCTAGATTAAGTCATGAATTTATACTAAAATTAGATTTCTATATTAGCTAGAGGTTGGATCAAAGCCTTTATAAAAATAGAGTTTTGATAATTTTGTATTAGAGTGTTTAACATAAGTTTATATTTTCTTTTCCATTTTTTAATATTTTATTAATAGTTTAATCTCTCCCTTCCTCTCAATAGCAATTTTTTAATAGTTTAAACATTTTGAAATCAATGATTTTCTCAAATTTGTTTTTTCAGCTCTAGTTAAATCAGAATACTCTATAGAAGTCATACCAAGCATTAAGAGCAATCCAATACTATACTTAATTTGCAGCTCTACTAAATTATCAACACCAATTGATTTAAAACCAAAATTTGGTATGCCAATAAAGTTTGATGCACATGGTCCAAATTTCATAACTTCCTTAGCCAAGTCAGATTTCAAAGTGCCATGCAACCTAATTGATATTCCATAACATAAAATCATTTTTATTTTCTATTATTTTAATATTTTAATAGTATTTTCATTGTTTTAATATAGAATTATTCAAATAGTTCATTGTGAAGTATAATATATTAAATCCAAATTTAGAACTCTCACTGTGAGTGTATGGAATATGGAAAGGGAATATAGAAAATGTGTACAATAATTAACCCAAAAACCCTAGCTTATATACAGGAGTGAATAGTTTGGATAAAAACTAATTTGATGGCTACTAAAATCCCATTATGCTAGTATTAATATATGGCATTGTAGCCATACACTTGGACCTCATATCATCCCCTCTTGGAATAACGGAAGACCATCAAGGTTCTCTCGTAGATGGGCTAGGATCTAAAGGAACGTCAGGAGGAGGTATCAGCAGATCTATAGGTGGTATTAGTTATTCTTGATCCTTTTTGTATGAAGCGTTTCAACTGCTGCATATGTACAATTTCTAGAAGATTAGCTTGCTGGATGTCATGCCAAACCTCATAAACTTGTGGTCCAACTTGCCACAACACTCGATATGGTCCTTTCCACTAAGCAAGAAGCCCCTTACATAAACCACGTATTGTAAGATGGGGAAAATAGACTAACACCAAGTCATCCACTTTGTACTCCATAGGTGGACAATGATGGGAGTTGTAATGCCATTGTTGTCCCACTTGTATGCAGCCTAAATGTTCAGTAGACTCTGCTCAGACAAGTGGAAGAACGCTCATCAAATACTGATTCCACGACTTAGCATTAGAAACTCATGGCAATCGCAAAGGTAAACCCAGCTCCGTTGGTAATATTAGATCATGACCATATAGGAGTTTATATAGTGAAGCATTAATAGAGCTCTGCACTCCTAACACATATGCATACTTAAGAGACGGCAAATAACCATCCTAATATGGGGAACAACCTTCTCTAATATCCCTTTTTCAGTCCTCACTAAGTCCCTTTTTGTCCATGACCATGTTTAATAGGACTTCCTCAACATGTGACTGTATCCTTGGTCACTACACCAGAGGATTGCTCCTGTTTCTTTCCATAGTCTGGGACATTGGGATAACATTTCGAAACACTGTAGCCTTGTGTGAACCTACTTTCCCCACCTTCTGCCTTTGGGTGCTCTAGCCATGGGGCTAGAGCGAGATTTCGTTGAGCCACACCAAATATCCAAGTAGGTAGTGCCACCCATGCTTGGACTGGGAACATTGACCATTTGATTTCCCGGGGGAGCTAAATCCAACTCTTTAACACTTCACCAAGCTACCCCGCTTGTTTGTTTGTATTCACTTTACCTTTGGACTCTTCAATAAAGATATCATCACCCAACACATGGGCATAGCCTTCCTAGGTCACACTAGCCTTTCCTGACTAAATTAGCTCTATTGGGGCCTAACCCCCACACTCTCCCTAGTATACTTTTAGAACCCCTTGCAGCCCCCTTCTAGAGGACGATCGCTTTGGGCTTTCACCCAACAACCTGTATTAGTATTTGGACTCAGAGTTGGATTCGAACTCAGACTTGAATTCAGACGCAGACTTGGACTCGGTCTCGGTCTCAGACTCCATCTTGGGTCCATCTTGGACTCCATCTCAGGCCCATCCTAAACTCCATCTTGGACTCCATCTCAGGTCCATCTTGGATTCCATTTTGGACTCTATCTCGGGTCCATCTCGGACTTCATCTTGGGTCCACCTTGGACTCTTTCTCAGACTCTATTTTGAACTCCTTCTTGGACACTTTCATATATCATGCGTTGGTCCTCTTGTGTCCCTTTTTTAGAGATTTACTTATTGTTCGCTTCATGCTTGTTCCTCAAGCACTTCGTTGGGAGTTCCACTCCCGCTATTGACCTTCAAGTCAGAGTTTTTAGTCCAAACGTGTTACGCTCGTTTGGCTTTTGCTTTGGCCACCACCACATGGTGCCCTTTCGGCTCCACTTTGGGGCTTAGGGATTTGTATCTCACAACCCCACCACCTATAGACGAAGTTCAATATCCTTATCAAACGATAAACTATTCTATAAAGTAATACTAGTATGTATTACCCTTTCCATCTTTGGCATCTAGCCAATATTCGTCAATAGTTTGACATCGAAGGCTCACCATGTCTTGTCCATCCTCTAAGGAGCATAAACTCTCTAACTTAAAGACTCATTTGACCATTTGTGGTGGTTCTTTCCTTGTATTAGTTTAGTTCTCTCTAAACCTATTAAAGACACCTTCTCTATCTCAATTCCACTACTCATTCTCGAGTAGTTTTAGTTCCTATTGATATAACCTTTGCATTTTGGAACTTTTAATTTTGACTTCGCGGAGTCAATTTCTTGGGTGTCTCTGACATTTTGCATTGCACATTTTGTGCAACTCCACTTCCCCATCCTAGGAAGTTCTCTACTCGAGGGCACCATCATCCTCTTTTCTATTTTGTGCCACCTTTGGCATTAAGTTCCAGTTATCATAATTTATGTTAGGGCTGTCCACAGCTCTATCATTTGGCTACTGCTCCCTCCCTTAGAGTTTCCACCTTCGCCAAATCAAAGCAATTGAGAATCCATCATTGGAAACACATTGCCTTCCCACAATCCATTAAAATCCAACACATTAGTGTTCATAGCCTAACTTTGCCATTTGGGTTCTATCCCATAATTCATATGCTATATGTGATATCAAAATAAATGACATAGGTTCAATTGCCATTGATTAATGGCTACTTAAAATATATACCCTTGAGTAAAGTATATTCTTACCCCTAAATTTGAAATCATATGTATTAAGCATCCATGAGTACGTCCTTCATCTTATAGAGCACCTATGGATGAAGGTATCCACCCGAGACTACAGTACAAGTGGATGATTAGTTGTCTCACATGGAATAACTAATCTACACAATGTAAGAATTGGTAAATTCAGTGCAGAAATAAAAGTGTTAGTTTCCCTTAGTTCAATAATGGTTGTTAGTCAGTAATTAATAAAGACAATAGCTAGTTTACATAATGAAATGATTGGTAAATTTAGTGCGGAAATAGAAGTGTTAGGTCCTCTTGACTTAATAATAGTTGTTAATCAGTAGTCAATAAAGACTTTGACATTTCTAAAGGGGGGGTGAGTGTAGCACATATGATTATAAAATGAGATTTAGATATACTATCACCATAGATCTTTAAAACTTTGGGGGATAAATAGGGATAAAATAACTATTAAAAGCTTTTTCATCAAGTAATTACACCTTTTCCAATTGGCTTAAGAGGGGGTGCACTACACTCATATAGGGCCACAATGTTTCAAAATGTCGTCCAAAGCCTTGGATTGTGAAAAAGAAAAAAACAATCCTCTTGTATTATGGTGAGGAACTCGTAAAGCCAATAGGACTTAGTGATCGAGCCTTTAGGCCTTGACGTAGTGGTGGTATTAGTGAGCATTGTCATGGATAGAAAGGGACTTAATAGGGACCAAAAAAGGGATATTTGGAGTGGGGATAACTATAATTTTTAAGATGGGGAATGATTTTCTTTGAAGCCATTCCTATATTGAAGATTCCAACTTTCCAAGAAGCTTAAGGAAAAAAAAATATAATGACTATAATTTTTCTTAGTAGTTTATATACTAAGTTTTAGTTTTGAGAATGAAGTTTATTTTTTATTTTTTATTTATTACTAGTCATTCCAATACTCCAAATTCTTGAAATATTAGTCTTGAAAATGAGACTTCACAATCATAGCTTATGAATAGACAAACTTCTAGAATTTTAAACAACTCCCATAAACTCCCATAAGCTCCTAGTGGGGATTCACAAATAAACTCCTAGTAGGGATTCACCACAAGAATATGCCTTGCTCTTCTTATATGGGAGGATTGTGAAATAGAATTTTTCATATGAATTAATATATAAATTACAAATACCATAGAAAGTTTTATAAAGTAGATTTATTAGTGCCTTTTGCCATATTGTTCATTTCTTCATTTTTGTTACTCTAAACTATTATTTTGGACATACTAAGAGCAATTTTATCAATAGT